GAAAGTAGTAAATTCAAATGTAATTTTTATTTTTCTACAGGGTTTGACCTCCACTTTCCAGCCTTTGGAAGGAAGTCCTTTCTGGAACACAAAAGTATTTCATTTAACTTGGAGGAAAACAGGATTGACATAACCTTCCAGACAAACACAAGTGATGGACTGCTTCTCTTTGCGGCTGACAACAAAGACCGGGGAGATTTTATCCAGCTGCGTGTTGTGGGTGGTAAGCTGGAGTTCAGATTTGATCCTGGTGACAGCTTAGTGTTCATCCAAAGTATTGAAAGAGTGGATACTGGTAACACAGTTACAGCAACAGCCACGTAAGTTTGGTTACAAGTTGCTTTCAATAATATTTGAAGGACATGTACATGTGTGTACCTGCTTTAGTTCTGTCAGATGGCAAAAAGAGAAATCTGTAACATTCCCTACATAACCCCTACCCCCCTCTCCCCATTCTCCTTGCACCCCCTGAAGACATACATATACGTGGGTCATTAACAGACAGCAAGTCTTTGAGTTCTTAATATATTTGTCTGGTAACTACAGCAGTAAGGTACATGTAAGTCTGTGTCAGGCTAACATGATGCATACCACCAGTGCTTATCCCTTATACATTTATGAACCATGAAAGGGGCTAGGAATATTTCCTCTCACCCCTGGATGGGATTCTAGTCCACCAAAGGGTTACTGGGCTGGCATATTCGCCAGTAAATTTTGTATTACACCTGGTTGAAGAGAGCAGGGATTGGGAAGACCATGGGCCATGCACGTATGGCGCATAAAGCTACGAAATGATGCATTATGATGCGCTATGCACCCTAATGTCGAAACAGCTAGTAAAATGTACACTATTTTGTGAAAAGGATTTTCATTTGTGAAATTTTCAGTGTAATGACGAATAAACACACTAGAAATCACAATGCCTTTGCTCTTTAATCGACGTTATAAAAACAGTCATTTTGTTTTTGTCCCCAAGACCCCTTACTCGGACGCTCCTCGCAAATGAGGTTCTTGCTCAATCCATTTGCTTTCTGTTTTTTAATGAAAGGATCGGCTGATTTGAATATGTTTTGTGTGCTATAATTAGCCAAATAATATGCCTCTGAAAGTGAAAGTTCCAAAATTAGAAAAGATTGTTGCTTTTTTGCACTACAAACACCGAGTCCACCACAAAGAATTGTGATCCTGAAAACAATGTTCAAGACGAAGTTTCCAAGCCTTCTACATGTAGTTTTGAGGAATGAAAAAATGTTTGGTTAACGTTTCAATAATTATTAGGGAGCTACAGGTGTGTTAGTACATGTACAGTTCATGCACAGCTCAAGTTTTAAATTGTAAATGCAACATTACTTGTCACTCTAAATCTAAAACTGAGCATGTCTCAGTGATGTTGATGTCAGACTGCTCAGTATGTTAAGTTTAATCAATTCCAGTTCAGAATGCATAGTATAACCTCAATGAAAGGTTATATAATTTGAGTTAGCTATATTCTGTGACTGTACACTTAAACCTAGCTTGAAGTCCAGTAAAACATACAAAACAACAGCAATCGAGAATTACATATCGTTTGTTGAAATTTTTTTATGGCCCATTTATTTACCCTAATGGCCCAAACTTTTTATAAATGGCCCATAACTTTCCAATGCCATGGGTCATAGGCTCATTTGCCTGTTTTGCTTTCCCAATCCCTGAAAGAAGCACCGTGTTAGAGGAAGGTGTCAACACAA